TGACACGACAGATGAACCATCGACAGGAAAGATGAACCATCGACAGGACAGATGAACCATCGACAGGACAGATGAACCATCGACAGGACAGATGAACCATCGACAGGACAGATGAACCATCGACACGACAGATTAACCATCGACAGGGCAGATGAACCATCGACAGGGTAGATGAACCATCGACAGGACAGATGAACCATCGACACGACAGATGAACCATCGACACGACAGATGAACCATCGACAGGACAGATGAACCATCAACAGGGCAGATGAACCATCGACAGGGTAGATGAACCATCGACAGGACAGATGAACCATCGACACGACAGATGAACCATCGACAGGACAGATGAACCATCGACAGGACAGATGAACCATCGACACGACAGATGAACCATTGACACGACAGATGAACCATCGACAGGAAAGATGAACCATCGACAGGACAGATGAACCATCGACACGACAGATGAACCATCGACAGGAAAGATGAACCATCGACAGGGCAGATGTATGAACCATCGACAGGACAGATGTATGAACCATCGACAGGACAGATGAACCATCGACAGGACAGATGAACCATCGACCGGGCAGATGAACCATCGACAGGGTAGATGAACCATTGACAGGGTAGATGAACCATCGACAGGACAGATGAACCCTCGACACGACAGATGAACCATCGACAGGACAGATGAACCATCGACAGGGCAGATGAACCATCGACAGGAAAGATGAACCATCGACAGGGCAGATGTATGAACCATCGACAGGACAGATGTATGAACCATCGACAGGACAGATGAACCATCGACAGGACAGATGAACCATCGACAGGGTAGATGAACCATCGACAGGACAGATGAACCATCGACAGGACAGATGAACCATCGACAGGACAGATGAACCATCGACAGGACAGATGAACCATCGACACGACATATGTACCATCGACAGGACAGATGAACCATCGACAGGACAGATGAACCATCGACTCGACAGATGAACCATCGACAGGGCAGATGAACCATCGACAGGGTAGATGAACCATCGACAGGACAGATGAACCATCGACACGACAGATGAACCATCGACACGACAGATGAACCATCGACAGGACAGATGAACCATCGACAGGGCAGATGAACCATCGACAGGACAGATGAACCATCGACAGGGCAGATGAACCATCGACAGGACAGATGAACCATCGACACGACAGATGAACCATCGACAGGACAGATGAACCATCGACACGACAGGGCAGAGATGGTTCATCTATATATATATATAGATTTATCCACTCACCTTTGGCTCTCCGTGGGCCGTTATCCCTCTCTAAGCTCGGGTCCTCTACCAGAGGCCTGGGAGCCTGAGGGTTCAGTATCTTTGCTGTTCCTAGCACTGCACATTTCTGGACCGAGATGTCCGAGGTTGTTCCAGGGATCCGCTGTAACCTCTTCTAGCTTCGGGGTCACTGCCCCGAGTGCACCGATCTCCACGGGCACTACTGTGACCTTTACCCTCCAGGCCCTCTCACTACTGTGACCTTTACCCTCCAGGCCCTCTCACTACTGTGACCTTTACCCTCCAGGCCCTCTCACTACTGTGACCTTTACCCTCCAGGCCCTCTCACTACTGTGACATTTAACCTCCAGGCCCTCTCCAGCTCCTCTCTGAGACCTTGGTATTTCTCAAGCTTTTCATGTTCTTTTTTCCGGATGTTACCATCGCTTGGAATTGCCACGTCCACCACCACGGCTGTCCTCTGCCCTTTGTCCACCACCACGGCTGTCCTCTGCCCTTTGTCCACCACCACGGCTGTCCTCTGTCCTTTGTCCACCACCACGGCTGTCCTCTGCCCTTTGTCCACCACCACGATGTCAGGTTGGTTCATAACCATTCGTTTGGTCTGTATCTGGAAGTCCCACAGGATCTTCGCACGCTCATTCTCCAACACCTTTGGAGGAGTTTCTTAGACCTTGGGGTTTCCAGCCCATACTCTGCACAGATGTTTCTGTACACTAGGCAGCCACTTGGTTATGGCGTTCCATGTAGGCCTTCCCTGCCAGCATCTTGCACCCTGCAGTTATGTGTTGGATCGTCTCAGGTGCCTCTTTGCACAACCGACACCTTGGGTCTTGTCTGGTGTGGTATATCTGGGCCTTTATCGCTCTGGTGCTCAGGGCCTGCTCCTGTGCAGCCATGATGAGTGCCTCTGTGCTGTCCTGTAGACCAGCCCTTTCTAGTCATTGGTAGGACTTCTTGAGATCAGCCACTTCTGTTATGCTCCGGTGGTACATACATGTGTATGTGTATGTGTGTATATATATATATATATATATATATATATATATACACATATATATATAATCTATCTATATCTGGGCCTCTATCGCTCTGGTGCTCAGTGCCTGTTCCTGTGCAGCAGGCACTCATCATGGGCTGCACAGGAACAGGCACTGAGCACCAGAGCGATAGAGGCCCAGATATACCACACCAGACAAGACCCAAGGTGTCGGTTGTGCAAAGAGGCACCTGAGACGATCCAACACATAACTGCAGGGTGCAAGATTCTGGCAGGGAAGGCCTACATGGAACGCCATAACCAAGTGGCTGGCATAGTGTACAGAAACATCTGTGGAGAGTATGGGCTGGAAACCCCAAGGTCTAAGTGGGAAACTCCTCCAAAGGTGGTGGAAAATGAGCGTGCGAAGATCCTGTGGGACTTCCAGATACAGACCGACCGAATGGTAATGGCAAACCAACCTGACATCGTGGTGGTAGACAAAGGGCAGAGGACAGCCGTGGTGGTGGACGTGGCAATTCCAAGCGATGGTAACATCCGGAAAAAAGAACATGAAAAGCTTGAGAAATACCAAGGTCTCAGAGAGGAGCTGGAGAGGGCCTGGAGGGTAAAGGTGACAGTAGTGCCCGTGGTGATCGGTGCACTCGGGGCAGTGACCCCGAAGCTAGATGAGTGGTTACAGCGGATCCCCGGAACAACCTCGGACATCTCGGTCCAGAAATGTGCAGTGCTAGGAACAGCAAAGATACTGCGCAGAACCCTCAAGCTCCCAGGCCTCTGGTAGAGGACCCGAGCTTAGAGAGGGATAACCGCCCGCGGAGGGCCAAAGGTGAGTGAACAATTTTTTTTTTTTATATATATATATATATTGCCGAGGTCAGAGGGGAGATCCCACCAACTGCAACTCCCCAACCAGATACTGGGTACATAGCCCCAATGGAACCGATAACGAGGCAGCGACTGACCTGAAAGCTAAGATCATGGCTAGAATGGGCACAGGGCAAAGACACCGGCTACAGCGGTTGTGTGAAGTACCACCTAAGGATCTCATAGAAAGCGTGAATGCAGCAGTGAGGGCAATACCTACCACCACAATCACTGAAACCAATGAGCTGATATACACTTCAGCAGCAGTGATCCTAGAGAGGCAAATGGCAAGCCGCTCGCACAAGTGACCATCAAATGTGGTATCTACCAAGGAGATGCTCTGTCCCCACTACTGTCCTCTCAACCCTCTAAGCCAAGTAATTGACCAGACTGGCTATGGATACCGCCTCAGGAACGGAGCAAAGATCAGTCACCTCCTCTACATGGATGACATCAAGCTGTACGCCAAGAGCGAGAGAGACATCGACTCTC